AATCCCTATACACATTCCAGACTATTGTTACTTAACACATCCCCCGAAGATGTCTGAAAGGAATTCCCCAGATTCCTGCGAGACAATGACCAACACAAAGCAGGGGGTTCTCGCCGTCTCATACCTTGCTGCGTATGACCTTCGCTCATCACCCGGCGCTAGACTGGTTTCCGTCCCGTACGTAGTCTCCAGACGTCTTACAGACGTCCTCTGAAAATAGGGGCCGTTTAGTGGGTAATGAATCCGGCAGAATCCTGCCGAGCGTTATAAATGAGAAAACGATGCCCGCTCGATGCACAATTAAGCAGGAGCTGATAGTATATTTTGCTTTGTCTTCTTCATGAATGAAAAAAAAACTTCACCATAAATTGTTCATTTACCTAAAATTTAACACAATAACCACTGATTTGAAATAACTTGCGGTAAAACAATTTATCAGTGAAAATCTTTGAAAAATATATTGCCATACCGTGATCGACAGAAGCGTAGCAAGGATAAGTACTTGTGTTTATTCGTTTCACTGCTCTGCAGTGTAATTGGTCTGACAAAAATTTAAATATTCAGCATCCAGATTGACAGGGCCAATCATAGAGTTGTTTCTAAATGTAACTCTATGGGGCTAATAGACCTTTTCGCTCATAAATTCACATTCGCATGCGACTTATGATGGAAGAGGGGGCTATACTAGAAAAATCACGATTATGGAGTCTTTGTAGAGAGCACTAAAAATCCCGCTTAGATTAGAAACTAATAGCAAAACGATTTAGTGAACAAAGCCAGTAAATTTGAGGGAAAATGATAATCAAAGTCACGTCCCAGTACCTTTTCAACGGCCCGCTCACACTTCTTGCCGCCAAGGCCATTTGTCTATCGCACATGTTAAACTGCTGCTAGCTACCGGTCCCTATATAATAGGAACGGGGACCAGGCCCCCTGTTCAGGCATTGTGGAAATTTCGAAGGAAAGGGAAACCTCGAAATGAGGCTAATCGAACGCTGCAACGTGTTCGTCAAGGCATTCTGGGAAAAACGTCAAGCCGCCACACGCGCACGTTCCGTCATGTTCATTCTCGAACAATCCACTGTAAACGTCATGACACCACGGACGTGTTTAATAAAATCTGGACTCGCAATGCCCTTAATCAGCTTATAGAGATCATTGAATCCACTCGCGGCCATTTTACCGAGCCGAATACAAAGCTATCCCGGCAATGCCCGCCTTTGTTCTTCCTGACGTCAATAGAAGGGAGCCAACCCACGCTTTTGTATTCGGCTCGGTAAAATGGCCGCTGGTTGGCTTCTTTTTCATAAAAAGGTGTTGCAAGTCCAGGTTTTTTATATACGTCCGTGCATGACACTCAGGCAGCCTCCTGAGACCTGCTCGCCATCCGTGGTAGTGGTGGCTGACACCAGGGCAGGCACGAAGATCACGTGATGGCTAAGCGAACGCTCTCGTGTAAGTCAAACTTACACGAGAGCGTTTGTGCGAGCGAGTCGCTAGAGGCTGCCCGAGTGTAATTACGTCACGGATGGACTGTTCGAGCATGGACGTACATGGTGGAACGTGGCGGGGACTTAACCTTTTTCCCAGAATGCATTGAAAAACGCACTGCAGCGTTCGATTAGGCTCATTTTGAGGCTTCCCTTGAGTGTAACAGTGGAGTGTTCAGAGAAGCTAATCGAACGCACCCATTGAAAATAAATCTTAAGTCGGCATAATCACTTTTTGAGTTTTCATTTGTAATGGAAAGAGCAAGTTGAGCTTTATGTTTTGATGTATCACTCAGTTTGGCATCCTGATGAAAGTGGATACTCCATGGTGAAAAATGCTTTGGGTTCCTATCCGCTCCGAGCGGAACAAAAGAGGGCGTGTTTTTTGAGTACTCGCCGCATAGGCGCGCGTTTATAATGGGATCAATGGCGCGTTTCACGCGGAGCACTTAGTACGCGTAACGAATTTATTCCTTATGCCGTTTTGCAATACTCAACTTCGGCTCCGTCTCAGGCTTCATCTTTTTTTTAATAGCTAATTTTGAAGCTGTAAGCGCAGTAATGAGTCTAATAGTGCCACATAACATCAAATAGAACGCGTGCAAAAACCTGCTTTGAAAACTTACTACCACCTGTCTTTCTTCTGCCGCTTGGGGGTGCACTTCAACTCGGGGCGGATTGATTTACACTGCGCAAAATTATTCTAAAGGACTTTTTACTCCAAAGCTACGTTCTATTCAGAAACAAATCGACGAAAACGTGCAAACGTTTGTAAATTTGGATTTATTTCGTTGATAGAGAAGTTCTTTAATAATCACTTTATATGCTTCCGATTTTTTTTAATCAAACAACTGTCTCTGGGTGCACCATGTACATCTACTTTCCAAAGGGGAAATGGTTTTATTGCCATCTTGAGAGACTAGTCTTGATTCGTCTCGCCTCGTTGAACCTTCCCCTATTCTTATGTCGTCTTTACTCTCTACCAACAGCAGAGCCGCGATTGGGGCCTGCCAAGTCGGTTTTCCCTAGCGTGTGATGTGTAAAAAAAATCAATGCCAGGCAAATTTGGCCCGTAGTTGACAAATCTTCAGAACTTGTAAACGCACGGCGTTTTAAACCCTTTGACAAAGGAGAAAAAACTGGGGGACTTTTTTTTTTACCAAAACACAGGTTTCTAATTGACATCGCGTTTCTCCGTACTAAACTCAATAATTTTGTACCATTTTTTTCATTGCCATGGAGCCTATACACATTTGCCAACACCGACCTGAAAAATGTAACCCTAGAATAAGCGTACTTTCCTTCCCAACTTGTTTTTAATATCGCATATAAATGTCCCGTTTTTCGTATCTCTGTCATATCTAAAAGCTTTGTACCCTTCATGAATACAGGCAATTCATCATAGTGCGCCACCAAGGGTTTGCAACGCCTTGGCCAATCAAAACGCGCAAAATCTGGGTCGAAAGATTTCTCGCACTCTGATTGGCCTACGCGTTACAAACTCTTGGTGGCGTACTATTATGAAACGGCCGTATTTGTTCAGTATTTCACCAACAAGTCTACAAAAAATGCAGCTCCGTGTTATCTTCAGTGACGGGGTTGCTCTCTGAAAAAGCATTCGGGGGGAAAACGGACTGTGAAGTTGACAGCAAGCGCCGTTCCAGAGCCACATTTTTTGGCAGGTGGGCCAAAATAATTGACGGCAGACTAACATTCTGGGCGGTTAACATGTAGCAATTTTATTATTGAAATTCACAAACGGTGCTCAAGGAACAAAACAACAAAATGGAAACATTAGAAGCTACGGCCCTCGAAGCTAACCTCCTACGACTCTGCCCTTTTTCCTATTATTCAAAGCAACGTGCTACGCAAAAGTTTACGATTTTGGACTCATTTTCCCCAAAAAGGCCTCTGTGAAGGAGACCAATTATAAGCAATTAAGTCATGGATAGCCAGGGGGCATCTACTCTGTGCAATTACCGACGATGCAAAAAAGGGTGATCACATCGAAACGTGTCACTCCAGTTAAAGGTTGTGTCCTTAACACTGACCCATTTTTTTTTCAGCGACTTGCAATTTGCGAAGTGAAACGGGATGCAAAACGGCATCTTCTGTCAAATCAACGCCCAGATGGCAATATAAGTGATTGAGGTTATCTAGGGAGGAAGAGGGTATAACGTAAGTTTTTAGCAATAAAACTACAATGACTGATTTAACCAATTCCCTGGTCGCTCTTGCCAAAAAAAAATCCCCAGGAACCTCAACTATGCAAGGAAACACAGGTCCTTTCAACATTCACGAAGTACAATGTGCCCAGCGGAAGCTACAGGGGTGGACCCCTGCCTTCTTTGATCCCTCAGGGTCCCCCAACAGATCTTGCGGAGGAATTTGAAGGGTCTGGCAGGGTGACATGGTTGAACTGATGCCTTGTGGCCATGTGATCATTGCCGATCTACATGCCATGGGCAATTATACAATTTGAATAGGGACCGGTGGCATGCATCTGGCTGAGCCAACTTTTTCCATTATGAAAATCAACCTTGTTGGGAGGAGGGAAGAAATCCGTCCATTACTAGTGACACTACTTTGTTGGGCTGATGCTCCAGGAATACCTTCAACAGACTGTTACAGTTATACTGACAACAACAGAGGGTTTGCACAGCTGCCATCTTGTAGGCCAATGCTATTGTTCAACAGGATATGCACAAAGGAGGCTTTCTGTGGAACAAAACAGCTGCCCTGCAAGATGGCTATCATGCAAAGCCTCTACTGGACAGAGCTGCTGCTGGTTTTTTCTCAATAAGCCTCAACTACTTCAAGTACTACAACAGGTAAATCAAGTGTAACTTTTTTGCCACACCCCGTTTCTCATACACCCAGAGGCACGCCCTCATACCTCTGTATCTAATTCTTGCCTTTTGGGCGTGCATGTACACTTTTAAGCTCCTGAGGGGGTGCCATACAAACGTGCAAACACGTATCTCTTAGATGCCACTGGTTCAAAAGTCTGTCATTAGAGTGGTGATTACCTACTAACCCTCACTCCTGCAGTGGACACTATGCACAGTTTTTCTGGCCTGTTGATGCTGAACAAGTTTACGACAACCAACTGGTTCGCCAGTGCACTGCCGCCAACTTGTCTTGGACATTTTGGCGGCTGCTCCCAGTGTGAATGGGGGTATCTTCACTGGGAGGAGAGTGAACCGCTTTGCTTGGTCCAGTCAAACAAGCTTCCTGGCAGAGGCATGGGTGGTGGTGGCCTGACATCTTGGGAAGAAGATCTTCCTTGGGAGACTGGTGGGGCATACGGTCAGTGGTGAGGCTTCCTGAAAGCATGGCCGATCACACTTCAGCGACAAGCTCTGTCGCGGAAGCAATGCATCTGGTCATCGACGGTTATTCAGTTCTTCACGCAAGGAGTGCTTTTGGCAGTGGTGGGGCTGCATTTTGGAGGCTTGGTCTGCTCACCGATTGTGAAGAAATCTGCTTCCAGGCCTCCAAATGGTTTCTCAGGGCACCTTGGCATCTGTGACAAGGCTTCCGAGTGGGAAGGCAAAAAGACAAGTTCCACCCTTTCCCATCATTAGGGATCCTATCACGTCACACACGATGCTCACACTCTACATGCTCGGCTGATACTTCCACTCGGGAATCTCAAACTACACTGACTGGTGAAAACCTTTGATTAACCAATCTCTTCTGTGATATCAATCCAAAGTATTCTCCATGAGAACACTGGGTTGCAAGGTCTTCAGAAAAGATTCGCATTCGCTTGGAACTCGTTCTGTAGCTGCTGGATTTCTAGGGTAAGATATATGTATATATTTACTCGCGGCCTTCATGGTATGTCGATCATACACTCTACTGCAGGATTCTTGAGGACAGTCAACCGCTTACAAGACCAACGCTCATACCTAACAGCATCTGATTACCTTGCACCTGTGTGGCACCAGTTTCAGAAATCTGTCACGAGGCATCATGCAAGCATGTACGAATGTTTTTTTCCCCAAGTTCCAAACTCTTTGCATTGGTCAAATGAAAAGAATCCTTCCGATTCAACAAAGAAGTCACATCTGAAACAGAGCATACTCTTTTTTTTTTGTACAAGCTCTCCACGAGTGGCAAATATGTATCTCAGTTTCCTCTACATCCATATAGCATATAGATTAACCAAATAAAAAAAAAAATAATTCCAAGAACGGCAGATATGTCAGCATCATTTTACTTCTCAGTTTTCGTCCTCTGTTGGTTTGGCTTGTTGTATCTGACCAAGCTGTACTGCATTGTAACTCCAGATGAGCAGAGATCCACCTGCATTCTGGTAAACAAGATGTCAAGGGACAAGTTCATCCTTCAGCGCGGCAGCACGATCGTCGAGGCAGTCACTGCCTCTGTGCCCCTGTTCTTCCCTGCACCTCCCACCAGCCAAATCCTGGTCAGAGTCTCTGCCGTCCAAGCCGCGGCAGCCTCTTTACGACAGGTGGAAAGACAGCTGGCCCTCCTCGGCGGCCAGCCGCAGCTTGAACTGCATGATCTCCAGCGAGCTGTAGTCCGGGAGCTTCAGGTAGTTGACGCAGGTCATGACGGACGGCAGGAAGTGGTCGGGATTCTCTGAGGTCTCGAAGGTCTTGCGGACTATGGTCAGGGGCGGAGTCAGGGCCTTAAAACCTGGAAGGTGACAGGGAGGTAAACAGAAGAGACATGAATGAATGAACTGCGATACGAGAGCAGTATATGCAACAGTAATGTAGGGTCTACACGTTTATTCGCAGTCAACAAGGGCGATTCACAATGCCATGCGCTGCAACGGTCAACAAAAGTTCTTTGCACTAGCCGTGCAGTGTGCGGGATGCTCAACTTTTTCCGATGTTTATTTGTCTGGGCTGAAACACGCTAAACACTACTGAAGTGTTTTAAGTATTGGCGTCAATTAATAAACAGTGATGATTTTTTTTAGGTACAAAATGCCCTGATGTATCACAAGTTTCCTCAAACCATCTAATGACATTAGCTCAAATACAAAATCAGCCATTTTTTGTCGACCCTGAAGTTGAGAAATGACCTCTCTGTGACGGCGTCTTGGTGGTGCACTGTACTGTGAATCACTTATCATAACAGAGCATGCCCAGTTGCTCAGGTTCAGTTTAGAGACATCTACTTCAACGTTCTGCAGATTTGGCTTCATGAAATCAGGCGACAAAAACGGGCAAGACTGATGCAAGTGGTGGCCGTATGACAAAATGCCCCCCCCCCGAAAAAAGCAAGTCTGTAGTTTATCTGAGCAATTTCTCATAGAGAAACTGTAAGCAATTACATGAAAATACTGAGATGATACATGTACTTAAATGCCAATATCTTTAGATGAAAACAAATAGACGTGCATGACAAAGTGAACTGCAGAGAGAGTGAGTCAAGGAAAACGTGGACAAGGATGGCTGATTGATTGATCTTGAGGGAGGCTGACAAACTTATTGCAAGAACGTGGCCATAGTTCGTGTTGGGAGATTAGGAAATGTTGGTAGGAATGTTGAAATCAGCCAACAGACAACTTGGACGAGTCCGTCAGGGTCCATTGGCTCATAGCCTGCCAATTTGGGTAAAGTGTCCAGCTCGGGGACAAGGACACCAAGGTCCTCTTGTTTCAATGCAAGCCACAGAAAACAAATGCCAACTGACCCCCGACTGGTAGCCTGGGGCTGCCGGTGACAAACTGCAGAAATTGTCTTTGCTGCTGTGGATCATACGATGCCATGATCTCAAAGAGGAACTTCACAGCAGTGCTGCAAGGGGAAAGAAAAAAAATACCTTGATAATCACACAGAACATCGTTAGCTACACAGCTGAAAGTTCCATAATTAGGACTGACAACTTGTTTCCAAAACAATACATCAATATTTCATAAGATGACAAAATTATAAGATCAAAAATCCAAAAGGTCGGCACACTTTATGCGAGATAAATAATTAATCAAATTAACAACTCAGAACAAAGGTCCCTTTTTTCTCCAGTAAACAGAGAAGCCAGCATGGTGTTTGAGTTTGGCAATGACTGTGAAAGCCACACAAAGCCACACAAAGCCATATGTCCTCACTCAAAATCTCCTTCCTCGCCCCGAGATACAAATGCAAAGCTAAATCTGCCCTTCCTTGCAGTTTCTACCTTAATTCAATTTACATAAAGAATTTGGGCTTTTGCGCTCTTTCCTTTTTTCCGTTTGTAATCACCATTTTGGAGGCTAACAATGTATCTTTTGAAATGGGGTGGTCAGGTTTAGTTCTGCAGTACACAAGCCCAACATGAATTTTGTGTAAACAACTGTGGTTCCATTCAGACGTTTGCTGTGACCCAGCCGCACTGGCTTTTCACAGTAACAATTTTTGCGCATCACCAATTGCCCGTCGTGGGGAGGGGCTTAGACTCCACCTCCCAGGTGGTGAGAGTGTGACTGACCTGTCGTGAGTGTAGCCGTGGTCGGGACGACAGCATTCTATCAGAGTCTTGATGTCCCAGGGCTCACTGCTGTTTCCGCAGAACATCTGATCCATCTAACAATCCGGGCGGCAATGACAAAGAACCACTTATAGTGAAATCTTCTACAGCGCAGGTTTTCGTTGTATCCTTCCGAAAGATGGCACGGCAGACTACACTGCTTTTAGGGAGTGCACTGGAGTCTTCAGCAGCATATAATCCAGTAAAACTTTCTAACTTGGAGAGGTCTTATCTGATAATTTGAAATTTGCTTTACTCCTTTTGAAGTGGCTTTCTTTCTCTGGACATAACATATAAAATTCACCAAATGCTTACAGGAACCTTGGACAGTCAGTGAAACTCTGAAGTGGGTACAGCTACGAATCTATATGTGAATTCAAATTTTGCAACTGCAAAATGTTTATTTGAATCATGAAAGGACTCAAACAGAGAAGAAAAAGCTTCAATTTTTTCTCTCTTCTGATGACTAACTCGACCTGCCAAAGCACTTGACAAATATCACTGGCGGGCGAACACCACTAAAGGCGATTTAGAAATGAAACGCCACATTGTGTCCTACCTCTTCTGGGTAGAAGCTCAGCAGATTTGACAGCGGGAAGACCGACTGAAAACCGTCCCTCAGGGCCTCGAATTGCCTGGACACCCCTTCCACCAGAGTCCAGTGAGTCACAAGCTGCAAGGACATGAATGGGACGGTATCAACCGCTTGTCTTTCCCCAAAAGTTGATAGGGTAAGTATGCTTGACAATAATTGCAAATGTTAGGAAAAGAGACAACGGCCTGCAGGAACTCGGAAAATTGATTAAAATAGCTCACTAAGGGATTTCCAATGAACACTCAGAGCCGCTAGGAATCTCTACTCATCAAAGATTGTATAACAGTGCCAACATACCTAGACAAACTAGCAAAGTACCAAAATATTTCCACACGGAAATCATCCTTACTTTTCACAAACAAAACCCTACACTGATTCAAGTTGATATTTAAATACTCCATTCTTCCCAAATTTTGGCATTTTCATGACACTGGACAATTAACTTTAATCCTAACAAACGAATACAATTGTATTTATTTGACCATGGGAATTAAATACGCTCGCAAATTAAGTTCAAGCCTATGAGCACCACGCAAAAAAGATTCCATGCAGTTGTAACTGCATTTTGGGGCCAGGGCTGATGAATAAAACAAGACATCATACAAAAATGTTTTCCTAATATCTTCGTTTCGTTTTAATCCCTTGGAGATTCAATAGGTAATATTGGCTACATTGACTACAAATAAGTGGATAACTTCGGTGCTCCATTTATTCTTGAAAGTTATCGAGATTACCATGAATTTATTAATGTTAAACTCCCTGCAGCTTCAATAATCCAGTGACGACAAAATCAGAATAGATTTAATGGGAAGAGGCAAGCCAGAGTTTAAGTGGCATATCTGTGACAAAGAGACTGACACCAAGCCTTATGGCATTAACGGGAGGGGGTGATGGTATGTGGTTTTCAGTGGGGATAGGGTGGGGATGGGGGTGGGCATGGGGGTGGGCATGGGGCGAGGTCCCAACAGCCTACCTTGAGATACTCCTCCAGGTTGTGTATGGAGACCACAGTGTCCTTGCCGCCTTTCTTCAGCTCGATGTTGCCGTAGCCCGGCAGGGTGAAGTCCAGCCCCAGGTCCTCCACGGCACTGCCGTCGATGGTCAGGCTGTCCAGAGCCAGCTGCAGGCTGGCCGGGGTCTGGACGGAGCAACGTCGGTAAAGAGAGGACGGGTCATTTCAATAAGGAATCTGTGCTTGCATGAAAGTCATGTAAAGCATGACAATGCAACAGTCCAGTACTTCGCAAGTACTTACAAATATTCCATAAGCACTTCACAGTACTCACAGAAGTGCTTCACAATATGAACAATTGCTTTAAAAGTACTTGATAGTACTCACAACTGCTTCACAAGTACCCACTAGCCTTCACAAGTACCCAAAGTCTTCAAAAGTTGGACACAAAACCCCCCTTTCTCAATGTAAGCCACACACCACAAGTCCTCAGACACGAGCTCAGAAAAAGACAGGTATTCATGTTCGGCCACTGCCAGCTAAAAAAGTACTTCATACAGCATTTGGATGATAACTGATACATGGGGCAGCCCGGACATCCGGGATTCTCGCAAACTGACAGGTACTGCGTCGGTGAAAACAGCGACCTTGGCGACGTACGCACGCACCTGCCAGTCGGAGGATCAGGTTATACAATCTTTCTTTGATCTGTACGTACGCGTGCGCTCGCTGCAGTTGTTTTCATCGGCACGGTGTGGTTGCTACCCGTATTTCTGTGAAACTCCCGGATGTCCGCGCTGCCCCATACTTATGGACTACTTGCGAGGTACTAAACTACAACACTGGTCAGAAATGATTCATATCACATGTCTTAGCTGATTATCACATACTCCAGCAACCATTTTAAGCATGTCTTGGTATTAAAGTCAAGTGCAACATTTTTTTACCACAACAGAAGGAAGTGTACACCTTATTCCTCCCGTTCATACTTTTACTTGCTGTCAACAGTTTGCTACCTGGACTGTGGATGACATCAAAGACTTCTAGGTCTAAAAGCGCGAGTTAGCAAGACGGTTGGATGGCACACCGCCTACTTCGGACACCCCCTCTCAACATGCAAATGCACGAGACGCCGGTGAGCTTTACCCACTTGGATGCCCTGTTTTTCAACACTGACAAACACGGCCACTTGATTTTTGACTGCAAACTCAACCCCTGGCTTTACTGTAAAAAAAAAAAGAGAGAACAGAAACAGGATAACTCACATGTGAGCTGTCCTCCAACAGTTTCTTCTTCTGCTGCATGAGCTCTTCCAGCTGGTGGAAGGAGCGAGCCAGGACTGGGTCAATGTACTGCAGGTCGTGGGAGTTGAGCGAATCCGACTGGCCCAGCAGCCACTTGAAGAAGGGGAGGCTCAGCGGAATGTCGATCTGCGTAGCAAAGGATCCGTGGTTGAGAGGTTACTCAGTCCTGCTTCTCGGCTGAGAAGCTTCTTGAATGCTTTGAAAATCCTCTGCTATGCACGAGACCCACAGCGCACGCTTTCTGCATTTTTTTAACCAAGGGTCACGTCCTGTGTGTAGAGTTAACAGTGAGCAGGCTTTACTGCACTCAACCCGGCAAAATCCTCTAAAAACCCGAGTGAGATCTTTGGAAGATCTTGTAGGGTTGGGCTAAATACAGGACTTGCCCTTGGCCGCACTGTGTAATTAGGTAGTGTGGATTCAGGAACTGACTTAATAAAGCAAAAGCGCACTATGTGGAGCGCAGAAAACCTTGCCAAGTTTCCTATCAAACGAGAAGAAGGACTCATTCACAGAAAATTGCAAGAAACATTCAAAGGCTACTTAACCGAGTCCTACAGTACACAAGTTTATGAGTTCCCTCCCCCTTTTACATGTTCCTTCTCCGGAACGTACCATTCTTGAATCCATGAGCGCCTTGGCCATGAACTTGCCCAGGAATCGGAACTTAGCCTTGATCTTGTTGACAGTCTGGCTCTTGGTGCTGCGGCTGAGCGGCGCGGGGAACAGGCCGTGGGTGGAGTGGACATACTTCACCCCGGCTTGTGCACCTGAACGAGAAAAACATGTTCAAAAGATACTTTTCTGAGACCCTGAAAGCCAGTCAGGTTCTTGTACAGAGCCCGAAAACAAGGCCAGAGAAGCCCAAATATATCTTGCTGGGGCGTGATGTAACCCCCGTGTTTGACCTGAGAGAGCCTGAAACAATGATGTTGCCCTGAAAACTGGTCCCAGTGGAGACCATGTCCAGATCTGTGATGATCCTGCACTGGTAAAGAAAGTTCCTCATAAGTTGAAACGTTCCAGTTCCTTGTGGAACACTACATTCAGAGAACACTGTGAGCTCCCTGTGGGAATGTGTCATGTTCCTGCTTGGAACGGGCCGTTCCCAAATGAAGAAAACAAGGGCATTGTTCACTGTTCCCATTTATGAACAACTGCTATTCTCGGAACAAATAGTTGGCATCTCATTGGAACGTTCTACAGCATTCCAACTGTCTGAGATGTTTGTGACCAATTGGGAAATACGGGCGAGAACAAAAAGTCACTGGGTTTAATACAACATGCAGAATGAAATTCGGTAAATTTGAAAAATCATGGACTGTATCAGTCTGTTAAATTATAACAAAACAAAGGTGCCATTCAGAAGCCATCAAGACAGCTCGGACAACCACGATTCAGGAATTCGGGGAATATGCTCAAAAAATTTGCTAGCTTTAGGAGCAAAAGGAAAATCGTTCAGGGAAAAAGGAAAGATGTATGTAGTGAATGTCTACCTCAGGTAAAGGCTGCAAAAACCAAGTCTGTGAGGGTGTCTCCGGCTCAAATTTAGCAAGGATAACTATGTGTGGGATGCAATTCAAGAACCAGTGCAGCTTCCCCTCCCCCCAAAAAGAGTTTGCAGAGATTTCAAACTGGTGAGTCAGGGGCGTTCTCAGAAACACTTCCCTCGCAGCGCTTCCTTACCCTTGGCTTCGGGTAGCACCACGTGTTCACCCCGCCACATGTCCAGGTCGGCTCTCTGGAGCTCCTGAGACACCAGGGCATAGAATTCCAGCGTCGGACCCAGGCCTGTGCCAACCTAGACCACGGCGAAAGGAAACAGAAAAAGCCTGATACTTTAACAAGCTCATGCAAATCATTGAGAAAATTGGTCTGATCCAAACAAACCAATTGCTTTCTCATCCAACTTCCATGAAAGTTGTGTGCAGAGGACAAGGCTGTTATTTGTCAAGAATTGAACTCTAGGATGTTGACATGGACGACTGCAGAAAAGTTATCAACATTCGACAGCTTTAATGTTGCCACTGGCTTATACTCCTGCCAATAAAAAAAAAAACCCAGGGCAAATATTGAAAAATTTTGGCATTTCAAAACCATAAAAACCCACCAATAAGCTTGGGTTTACAAAATTACAGAAGTGGTCTTAACAGCCACAGGTGACAGTCACATGCCATAGTCGCTGGCACAGCCAATGGCTATAGTCATGTCTGCAGTCATATCCCAGCCATGGCCATAGCCATAGCCACAGTCACGACCGCAGGTGCACATACAGCTGTGACCGCAGCTGCCATGTTGCCCTTTTTCTGTTTTCAATAAAAATGCTCCGCTCCTTACCTCGTTGTTGTACTGGATCTCCAGAATGGCTCTGGAACCGGCTAGGTCGTCCATCACTGTCTCGGCCTGCTTCAGGAGGTCATCTCTGGAAACCGTTCGCTGTAAAACACAGGGAGATAAGGTCAGAAAGCCAAATCATATCATTGCTGTTGCTTCCCAAATATACACCACGCCCTAGCCACGTCATGCAGACCAAGCCTTTTTTCTCAAGCCAACCATGTTAATAGCTACAAACCTGTAACCATGCCGTTACCGTGTTCTCGGGAGCTTGTGTTGACTGCTACTAAAATACAACAATATACAGCATTCAACGACTGCCGCATTCCGGTCTCTTTCTGTTGCATACTGCTTCCTTCTGTTGCACTCTGTTGCAATCCGTTGCAATGTGCTAAATTCTGTTGCAGAGCATTGCATTCCGTTGTACTCTACAGAGTTCTGTTGCAAACGACTGCACTCTGTTGCATAACCATACGATCTGTTGCATTTGAAAGCCACGTTGTAAAACTGGCCCCATCCTTCTGCCGCAACCAAGTGCACTGTCTGCCATTATACCCCATTTACCTTTCTCCTGTCCAGCCTGGGAGCCACCCTCTCGTTGGCATCCGACGTGTTCATGTCTGGGTTGTTCTCCTGCAGCCGCTGCATGGCCCGGTCGCGGTCAAACGCGGTGGCGTAGAACAGCATCTGTCGCGTGTCAAAGGGCAACAGGAAGGGGCTGCAAAGAGGCAGAAACGAGAGAGGAAAAAGAATTGAAATAGGCCATTTTTGTTTCTTTCTTGAAGGATGAACTGCTAACTTAGGAATCATTTGAATAAATTCAGCAGTGATCAAGCAACGACATCAGTGATCTGGCATTTAGGGGTATTCAATACTGTGACCGGCCCCCTCTTTGATCTTGGAGAATTCCCGACAGACTGACCATGCTCTGGCCACTGCGTTCAGCCAGGACGGCAGGTTGCCCGTCATGATGACCAGCGGATCCTGGAGCTGTCTGGCCGCTTTGGCTGTCAGCTTGCTGTTGGTCAGCTCAGCTGGGCTGAGGGCAGGCTGGGGTCCAGCTCCCTATGGTCAGTAGAGGAGGAAACACAGAAAGGAAATCAATCTAACGGATGAAATTGACTGGACACTACCACAAGGCTATATGGACCCTACTTCATTCAACTCCAATCCATATTTGGAGAGATGTGAGTCCTAATTTGCTACAGCTGATGCTTGCATGCTAGTACAAGGTCTTGCTACAAAGTAGCTTATCTTAACAGAGCCAAACATTTGACTCAAAGACGCGACTTTGACGGTTCAATTATATATGTGACGCACCATCCCAAAACCAGGCTGAAGTGGGTAACTTCATAACCCTAAAATAATGGAACTTCACTGTTCAGATTTTCATGGGAGTGTTATAGCTATCACTACCCGTAAGAAGCTTACTGCAAACAGAATTTTGATTTAACATGGATCACACTAAAGTGTAAAAAAAAAACTGACGGAGAGGGATTGTCCAACATCACAAATACCGACTTCAGCCTGATTTTGGGATGGTGGGTTCAATGTTTAGACACACATAAGTTTTCACAAAAGCAGAAAAGCATTTGGGCCAAAAAAATACGTCGGGTGTTTGTTACTCATGCACAAAATTCCAACATGAATGACATGTGGCTCCAAGCGATGCAAAACTTTGAAGTCCTGATGCACAAGGAACCCTGCCGACCCCTTTTCTTGTGACGTCCTGCCAAGCCCCTTGGTGGTAATCAAAGGCCTTGTTTGTTTCACACAGATTTGGATCACGATCAGTGCTCCGTCGTTGGTTTACAAACTCAAAACCTAATGGAAGGTGCAGACCAAGCTTAAGGATCACTGATCGCAATCAAGATCTGTGAGAAACAAACAGGCCCTATACCGTTTACATTGCACGGCTTGTAAACTTGACAACTTAGAACGCTTTGCGTTATTTCCCGATCTTCTTCAGACTTTTTTTTACCTCGTATAGGCAGTTCCAGTGTTTGCAGAGTCCATAGAGAACGCGTATCAATGATATGGCCTCCACCGACGGGTCGTCAATCACCACCCCTCCAGGCAACTTGGGTGTGAGGTAGAGCTCGAGCGAGGAGACGGGGGCCGGGCATATACCGTCTACGGGAGGAGAGAGAGGGCCGTGACAGCAATGTGTTTACAATGACCAGGATGCCAGACTCAGATAGGAAATTCCTTAAGCGCTAAGCAAAACATAAGCTGTGAACAGTCAGGTGTAATATACATTGTATGGTTGTTGGGGGGAGGGGTGGGGACCAATTGGGGTGGTAACCAATCCCTGCGAAGCAGACGTTTTCCTGTGCTGGGGAGCCCCATACAAATGGCCCCTTCACGGTGCTTCCACAGAGGTTAGAATCTTCTTTGCAGTGTGCATAGAAAAAAAGTGGAAAAGCACTCACGAGTTAACAGACCTGAGAACTTCTGTACATAAATCTGAGCACCCGCATGGGGGTGCAAAGCAGCCATGATGGCTATGTTTTGGATAAACTGCAGAAAGCAAGGAGGTAATGTTTATAATATCAAACATTTCAGGTACTCAGTAAGTGCTGGAAAAGTCCTCAGCATTCTGAAAACTTGTGTCTCTCGATTTCAGTTTACATAAAAACTAGTTCTGTCCAATTTTCTTTTAGGTGTTCACTGTCCATTGCCTGTAAAGACCCCTATCAAACGGCAGCCACCTCGCTTTTCTACCATTGAAACCAATGTAACTTAATTGCAGCTGGAGGGGAAAGTAGCCTGTTCCCTTTTCACAATATGTGAAATGGTATTACCATTGCTGATGGGTGTACTGGGAACAAGACAAGCATGGCAGCATCCCGTTCACTGCTGGTTTACAATTCTACTATGGTGGGGCTTGGGGTAGGAGTGGCTGGCATCTCTTACCTAGCCAGAGTTCATCGTGTTTCCTGGCCTTGCTGGCCGCCTTGCTGGCGCCCGCCCCTTTCCCTCGCTTGGTGGCGCTCCCGCCCCCGCTGCTGCCGCTGGTGCTACCGCCGGCACTGCCGCCGCTGGCGTTGCTGGTGCTGCTGGTGGCCGACTTTGGAGTGCCCTGGGCCGCCTCGGGGCCGCTCTCGCTGGCCGGGCGGTACCTGCGGGGTGGAAATGTCACAATATCAACGGTGAGAATGCTTGTGTAGGTCAGGCCAAGACAAGAAGTATTTCTGCTTTTATCAATGAAGCTCTTTGTAATGCCTTTGTAACCTGATTCTTGTGTGGCTCTGTAAGGCCACAAATGAGGTGAAGGACTTCAACACTCCGAAAACGCACCTAATTTGGAGTCGGTTTTTGATTTGTATCAGCAGAATTAGGTTTCATTTATACCGAGGTCCTCCAGAAATGCAAGCTTAAAAAGACCATGTGTGTCATGTCTTCTCACATCTCCAAGTTAAGTCCCGAAGAAAATTTCCATTTTACAAGCGTATCAAGTCACATGACCCAATCAGAGTGTACAGGAACGAGGAGCAGACTATCTTTTGCAGGGCATTCAACCTTATACCCACCAAGAAATGAGACCGAGGGGTACCCCCTCCAACATGTCCAAT